TACTTGGCTATAAATAGGTGATCTTGGGTCATTGGAAAATGTTGAAAAAACACTTATTATATTGGTACTTCTTGAGATCAAATCCAAACAAAAATACCCTCTCATATTCATCTTTTTCTTTGTGTTCTTAAGTTTTAAAGATTCAAACAAGTGTTTAGTGTTTGAATCTTTATAAGGCTTGATTAATCCTTCAAACCTTTTGCCGGATCACCCTTTAAACACCAAAATAGTGGGGGCAAAATTCGTTTGAGGACAACAATTAAAGATTGTGTTTGAGCCTTCAATTTCTTCATATATATACTTTGTCATTCCTTCATCTCCTATTATTCTTTCGATTTTTTTTTATAATTCGTTCTCATAATATCTTTGGTGGAGTAACATTATTTCCAACAATGTGTTGATGAGGCAGCATCTAGGTGGAAAGATGCATCTTCAGCTCAGCATGTTGAATATGATCAGAGGCCTGATATATTCAGGTTAGTTGAACTAATTTTTTTGCACTGTTTGAAGCTAACTAGACATGCACTAAAAAAACTCCATCTACAGGGGCACAATAAGGTATGCAAGTGTGCATGCACATTTGGGTCGTACTGGGAGTAGGAGGGACAATCTTGAGTCACTGGCATACACACTGATATTTTTCATTAAGGGAAGGTTACCGTGGCAAGGATATCAGGTGATTTGGTACCATTACTAGTATAACATGTTGTCGGGAATATGTCTAAGCTCATAAAAAGTTTTTTAACTGTTTCTTCATTTGGCTTTGGATGATGGCAGGGTTGACAACAAGAGTTTTTTAGTTTCTAGAAAGAAAATGTCTACTTCTCCAGAGTTGATGTGCTGCTGTTGCCCTGCTCCATTCAAACGGTTTATTGAGGATGTTACAAACATGAACTTTGACGAGGAACCAAATTATTCTAAGTTGAGTCTTATCGAACCATGTACGTCATTAAGACCAATAAGAATTGATGGAGCTCTAAAGGTTATACACATGATATTTTCGTTGGTATATTTTATTTTATAGGTGTATGTCCATATGTCCAAGACCCTTTATATGTTGAACTTGTCATCTATTGTATGAGCAGGTTGGCCAGAAGCGTGGAAGGTTGCTGACGAACAACCAAAGAAGAAAGTACGACTAGGTAATCCAGCTACCCAGTGGATTTCGGTGTATAATGCTCGTCGTCTTATGAAACAAAGGTAATTGCTGATACGTGTTTACTTGGCGCGATATGCTCTTGTGATTTGTTCCATGTGTCATTGTTTAGCAACCAGCGTGGATTTACTTTTCTTTCCACTATGTTTGATTGTTATTTTGTTGTTTCTTTTCTTGGAATGTGGATAACATATAGAAGCTATTGTGTTTCTGTCGTATTGTGTGCATCAATTTGTTATGATCGCACAGTGTGCCGAAGCTATTTTGTTTCTGTTGAAATGAGTGGGATGACATTTTAGGAGCTAGTTTGTCGATCCCGGTTGGATTTTCCATTGGGTGAAGTAGCTTTCTATTTCTACTACAGGTCGTGTTCTTTGTTTTCCCTATGAAATGTACCTCTTAAAACTTCTGTAAAATTAAACATAGGCTTGGGAGAACAAATACAGAAGTCTAGAAAGGTAGGTGAAGGTCGAGCGAACAAAAATTGCATGGCGACTTGTATAATTTAATGGTAGTTAAATGGTAGCTGATGTCAATCCGTCTGTGTTGGTATAGATAAAAACTGCCATTATACTCTTAATTTTATAGTTGGCTATTCACTCCATTGAAATAAGTTGCATATTTATATGAAGGAAAACAACCACGCTACGTGTACAAGGTCGGATTTCACAGGGTCAATTTAGACGGGACACAATAGGTGGGGTGAGTGATTCATTTTTGAGGGAAAAAAGGGGCTCCATCTGAGGGTCTGTAAAGACCCTGTGGAATAATTATAGGAAAATTCCATAGAGATCACCTCACCTCAAAGGCATTGGACCTCTGCCCATCATGTTTATGACCTGCTGCGAGCTGACTGATGACTAGACGTGGGGTGAGAGAAGGTACACTTTTAGGCCCGTTAGCCTGGACGGGCCAAAGTTCCCTTCTTCTTTTTTGTCTTTTTTTTTTTTTTTAAGAAGAAATTTAGAGGAAGCTATGATTTTAAGTTTCTGTTATAAAAAATAAGGTAGTAGTTTATTTTATTCAGGAATCAAGTATTTTTATTTCAAAAAATATTTACAATATATTTTTAGTATTGTAATGGAGTTAATTTGTTAATGTATATTTGATTTTGATTTTCTGAAATTCAAATTATGAAATTGGATTAATTTACCCTTTTATATTATTTGGAGAGAAAGATGTTACTTTCATTCTTAATCATCATTGTTTTTGATGAAAAACATCATAATCATGTCTTATAACTCTCAGTAAAAATTAAAGTATTTTATAATGGATCACACATTACACAACATAGGGCACATAGTTTAAGATAAAATAACGTTGCAAAGATAACACTCGTGAATTGCAGATGTTATAATTGTTGAATTTTAGTTTTAAATCATACGTGTTAGTATACTATAAGTTGACTTCAGATATCACACTTATTGTATTTTACAATTTGTCGCAATATAACATGTCACGTTAATATAGTCACAATCAACCATGAAATTAGCATGTCAATCTAGAAGCAAAATTCTAAACACCTTCCTTTTGGCACATTCATATGCAGCTTGTTGATATCGACGAAAACAAATGATTTCCTATTAACATGTAGAATTATAAAATCATGGAGGCATAATTTATTCTTTGTTTATTTTTTATTTTTTATTTTTTTGTTCAGAGTCAACAAAATGGTGGACACATTAACTGCCTCACTATTTTTAATATTAATT